GTCGGGGCCCGTCTAACCGCCTAACTCGCCTAATTACAGAGCTCTGTTGTTTCCCTTCTCTTTGCTGCTCTTCCTTTTAAATCTGTATCTGTTCTCATGCTGTGGGAGAACTTCCCTTTGCAGCAGACTGCCTTGTCTCTGGAATGGATACATGGTGTCTGTGTGCAGGTTCACAACCTGAGCCAGCACTACAGGAAGAGGCACTCAGCTGCAAAGGGAAGTTCTCCCACAACATGAGAAGAGATACAGATTTAAAAGGAAGAGGAGCAAAGAGAAGGGAAACTACCATGGATTACAGTAAGGCACACATTACAGTATTGTTTTATGTTAAAAAATCTGAGGGTTTAATGTCACTTTAATGTCAGCTTCAGTTTTCTGCAGAAGCAGCTGGTCCCCTGAGCACTGGTCCTGATATCCTGTTTAAGGGTGGCTGCTTTCCCTGCAGGGCCCTATGGACCCACCCTTGTGTATGTTAATAAGCTGTGTGTGTCTCCGCAAGGAATTCCAATCCCTGCTCCTCCCTTCTCAAAGCTAGTAGATTAAAGGCTGCTGGAGACTGCTTTGTCCCTTGTGATCTTGGAAGCCATGCTGAGAGAGCTGAAGCTGTTTGGAAACATGATGACTGTAAGTGTTTGGGCAAAAATATAAAGAAATACTTTGCTGGACAATGTATATTTGTTCAATCTGGATTCATTATTAAAAGTTTGAGAGTTTAATACTACTTTATCCCCTTTGCGACCAATGATGGGATTATCCCGTCACCATCATTCAGTACGTTAATGAGCGGTGCTGGGATAATCCCATCATGCAGTACAATCAGCGCTGGTCCATGAACGGACCAGCAGCTCATTGAATTACTGCTGTTGATGGGTCCCTCGGGGTCCGAGGCAGACCCCCAACAGCAGATTAGGTGGTCACAGAGCTGATCGCTGTGATCGCAGAGTTGCACAGCTGGTGTTCTATCAAAGATTGTGACTGGGTTGGAATGTGTGACTGGTCAGACATTCTTAAAGCATGTGACCGGCAAAAGGTGTAGAATTCAAAGCTTTCTCAGCTGTTCCAGGGCAGATCGGCATCACAGTTGGTATGTGCAGGAGAACCGATCTGCCCTGGAACAGCTGATCGGTCCTGAAATGTCCCTTCTCCTGCACATACCAACTGTGATGCCGATCTGCCCTGGAACAGCTAAGAAAGTGTTGAATTCTACACCTTTTGCCGGTCACATATTTTAACCCCGGACAAAATGGGCGTTATAACGTTAGAATGTCTGACCACGTCACCGGTCACACATTCTAATGCAGTCACAAACTTTGATAGAACACCGGCAGTTGTGTGCAGCTGGAGCCGGCTGTGTGTTTACAAACTGATACAAAGTATTTCTGTGGAGAATGCTGTATTCTACAAAGAGATACTAAGTATCAAAGCTCCTGTAAATAATTTAAAAAATAACCCCTTTGTGCCCCCTAGTTTAAGGGGGGAAAATTAAATAAAAAAAATATGTTTTTCAAATAAAAAAATAAATAAAAAAGTTTTAGAAATGTAAAACACGTAGCAAAAAATGACAAAATTGCTCCGGTCCCCAGAAACTAAAACAATTTCTGAAGCTGTGTCACTAAGGGGTTAAATATTTCTCTCATTAAGCCCGACTGACTGAACTGTTCAGGGAAATATGGCCACACGTGGTGACTTTCAACGGTATGCAACGGAAAGCTGTGACTAAGATGGTTTCCGTCAAGAGTCAGCGGGAAGTTGTCTCACTCTAAGCGCACATTATCCTCTTTGATATCTGGGGCCCATCAGTCTGGTGAGTGACGTCTTTCAGTTTCAGGTGGAGGTCACTTTCCAGGTCTACCTACACAGAGGTGAGTACAAATCACCTTGAACCCGTGATTTCTTTCTCTGTGTCCCAGCGGGGAGGAGAGAAAGTGACAGCCGGCCAAGCGCTGCGTGACGAGATCGCTGTGAGCGGCCGGTGTCTCTCCTCTCACACCGCTCGGCCGCCTACGGTTTTTAAATTTCTATTTCGGTGCACCTCTACTAATATAGGTATTGGTGCCAATACCGAGTATTTGGGCAAGTACTCGCCCAAATGCTCCTGATGCTTAGCCCAATACTGGAACTTCCCCAATCAGAAAGACAGGAGCCATGTAATGACTCGTCGCCCAGCTTCCTGATTGGTTGGAAATTAGGGCCAATCAGGGAGCCAGGAGGTGAGTATTTTCCAGCCCCCTGGCTTCCAGATCGGCCAGAAAGCCTCCTCCATGCTTCCTCATCACCTGGTGACACGGGGTCATGGAGACAGCTTCCTAACTCACCACCTGGCTTCCTTAATGGGACTTCTAGTATTGGTATTCGGTATCGGCAAGTACCGGGAAAAAAAATCGATACTCACTCCATGGCTCCGAGCACCAACAATCATCCCGCGTTCACAGGCTGTTAAATCGCGTTGTTTACCCGTATCTTCAGAAAACATCACTTCTACTGTCGTGGTAAACAACCTGCTTCCCTATTTATAATGGTCTGGCCCTCTAGCAACTTCAGCCCGAAATTATAGCTAATTATAGCTAATCTGCCTACAAACGTCAGGTGGTCATAATAAACTGGCCACTCAGTGTAATCTGAGAGTTTTGTCGCAATAAGCAACTCAGTGGCGTCACAAGAGGGGTGCGACCCGGGTGACACCAAAATGACTGACAGGGGATTTGGTGTCACCCCCTCTGAAAAGTCGGGCATTTGGTCATAAATAATGATTGAGGACAATGTTGCAGTACTTTCAGTGCATTCAGTGAACCTGCAGACATATTTTCCCGGAGTTCCTCTTCAACATGTCACGTGTCTGCGGCCCATCTCAATAAAGCTACGAGGGATTGTGAAATGTACGAGCAGGAGGGCTCAGTGGTTGTGGTCAGTGAGTTGGTGGTGAGTGTGCAGATTTTCTGCTTCTCAATGGATATAAGTCAGAAGAAGAGGAAGAGGACGGATGTCAGTTTGTAGTTGCAGTTGTCATGAGTTGGTTTGATTTGGGAAGTTGAAGTTCTTTGGATTCCAAAAGTGAAAACTCAGCGACAACAAAAAAACGGAACTTCCTGTGTGCTCACCACTAGAGGAACAAGTAAGTTCCAGACTATACAAGGAACAAAATGTCAGATGAAGTGACCTCCTGATTGTGATCTGCAGTCCAACATCTTCTGATGATCACAAAGAACTCCCAGTTGGTCAGGACGTATATGAAACCACACCATGCTCGCTTCCTCTCTATCTCTGATTGACACTACACCAGTCAGTTGAGGTAGACCAGTACACTATGACTGGTACACTACGACTGGTACACTACAACTAGTTGTTGTACACTACAACCTGATTGGCCGGGAAGCTGGATCCTTGCTGTTTGGCCGGCTCGATGCTGGAGCATGGAGCCGGCTTCCCAGGCAGTCAGCATGGAGCCAGCCAAACAGCATGGAGCCGGGCCTGTGACCTCTTGGCTTCCTGCTTGGCCGGGAAGCCGGCTCCATGCTGATTGGCTGGAAAGCCAGCATCCCGGAGATTGTCTGGGAAGCCGTCTCCATGCTATTGGAAGTACTGGTACTCAGTATCGACGAGGGGGTGTTTATCAAAACTGGAGCAGACAAGAATCTGGAGCAGTTGCCCATGGCAACCAATCAGCGTGAATGGGCCTCCACACCCACTTCCTTGTATGAGTGTCACAGGGACAGGAAGTGGTTAAAAATCTCTCCAATAGGGTCACAGACAAGAAAAAAACTGTAAAAAATGGTAACTCTTCCTCATTCCTCCATCAAAGTGGACATTTGTTGACTGAATCTGTATGTAAGGCCATCCAGTCATGTCTACAAGACACTCCACAGCCTGTCTGTGTATGCATATGCTGTACTGCAACCTAAATTAGTGAATAATATAATAATAATTAAACATGTGTTATTTTAATTTGTTATTTATGTGAATATATCTTTATTATCATTTAATCACGTTTCATGTTCTGGGCTCAGACAACACAGCCGTACACACTGGCCGAGCCGCCTACACAGTACACACAGCTAAGTCCCGCCCCGTGTGCTTCCCATAAGTCCCGCCCCTGCTCGTACATGCCCAGATGCTATCACCCAGAGCACATGACTTCTCCCCACGTGAGCCGCCCCGCTGGGTCATGTGATCACTATTTAACCCACTGCTGCCCGGCGCTCCCTTTCACACTGTCAGGACTCAGGATGGAGAAGGTGTGCTCGGTGTTGCTGTTTGCGCTCTTGGTTACATGGAGCCGGCCTGTCGCCGCCGACACCCCGGCCAACTGCTCCTTCCCGGACCTGAATAATATAATAATAATTAAACATGTGTTATTTTAATTTGTTATTTATGTGAATATATCTTTATTATCATTTAATCACGTTTCATGTTCTGGGCTCAGACAACACAGCCGTACACACTGGCCGAGCCACCTACACAGTACACACAGCTAAGTCCCGCCCCGTGGGCTTCCCATAAGTCCCGCCCCGTGTGCTTCCCATAAGTCCCGCCCCTGCTCGTACATGCCCAGATGCTATCACCCAGAGCACATGACTTCTCCCCACGTGAGCCGCCCCGCTGGGTCATGTGATCACTATTTAACCCACTGCTGCCCGGCGCTCCCTTTCACACTGTCAGGACTCAGGATGGAGAAGGTGTGCTCGGTGTTGCTGTTTGCGCTCTTGGTTACATGGAGCCGGCCTGTCGCCGCCGACACCCCGGCCAACTGCTCCTTCACGGACCTGAAGGGCACCTGGGAGTTCAGTGTGAGCCCCAGCAAAGGAGGAGTGCGCACCAGAGACATCGACTGCTCCCAGCTGGGTGAGGGGCCCTTCATTAACTTTACTGCTGAGATAACCTGGGTTACAGGAGCCTGTGAAGGGGGGTGTATATGGTAGAATGCAAACGCTCTGAGGGCCAGCCTGTTAGCCTGTTTAAAAGTTGCTTTACGTCCCTTACGGGGGAGGTGCTGCTTGCTGTATGTCAGTGCAAAGTCCTCTGAGGTGTGTAGACCTGTGAGGACAGAAAAATGGAAACCACCACCCTTATGGAGCTTCTTTATGCAACATGCTGACTGCCAGTGTCTGAGTTGCTGGTCAAGAGCAAGCATGTAGCCAGTGAAGTCATAGCTCCTGATTCTGCATGCTTGTTCCAGGTCCTTGCTATAGATATTCAGGGTGTCAGAATAGCACAGGAAGTCCTGTCACCTTGCTGATTGTAATGGCCGCTGAGCTGCACCACATACCCCCGGTACAGAGACCGATCAGCAAACGTCTTTGTGTCTGCCCGTCCTCTTTACACTTGTCGTTTGCTTTGTGATAGGCTGTGCGGGCCGGTGTGATGTCACTTTTGGCATCTCCGTTGTAAGTTGTGCAACCTTCACTTCCCAGATTGGGGAAAGTCCCATTGACTCTGCAAGTGGCTTACAAAGGATTCTGGGTAATACATGGTCACAGCTCGTCGCTGCATCCTCTGGATGTTGTTCTCCTTGCTCTGTGGGGATCAGTGAGGAGCTGTTCACCTTCCATTGTGGAAGTCCCATAACCCGTGTCTCTGCTTTTACAGCCAAATTATAATCCCTCCCACTTTATATTTGTTACGTGTCCCCAGTGACATCGCACAACGTAAAGTGACCCCAATTTACAGAGTTACATAAAAATACCTTCAGGTACCTCAACTATTACCGACAATGTATCTTATTTGTGTATCACTCGGCTGTAGATCCTCCAATCATCTCTGAATTGGTGCCGACACTGTCCTTCCTTCTGGAGGGGGACTACTTTTGTTCCCCATGCTCCCTGTGTGTGTTGTAAAGTAGTCACCGCTCCAAGCTCATTCCTGTGATGGACTACAATCTCAGTACAAATTGGTAAACTAAACATGAGACTGTAGTCCATCACAGGAGTGAGCTTGGAGCGGTGACTACTTTACAACACACAGGGACCATGGGGGAACAAAAGTATCCACCCTGCAGAAGGAAGGACAGTGTCATCACCAATTCAGAGATGATTTGAGGATCTACAGCCGCCTGATACACAAATAAGATACATTGTTGGTAATTGTTGAGGTACCTGAAGGTATTCTTAAAGGAGAACTATGGGGTTAGCGCTTTTCCCCATAGTTCTCCTTAAGCCAGGGGGGAATCCAGCCCCTCCCCTCCCCTGTCACGGCAGAGAGCCGTGACAGGATCGAGAAGTGAGCGAACGCCGGTATGTGTTCGCTCACCTCCCGATCTACAGAGCTGACCTGTGACAGTCTCATTGTCACAGGTCGGCTAGAACTATGAGGTGAGTGAAAGCACTCACCTCATAGTTCTCCTTTAAGATTTAGGCCTCATGTACACTAGCCTGCATGTAAGAAGTCAGTAGAAACAGCTTTATGCGTCCCAGAACACTTTTTCTGCGCTGGGCTTAGTTGGGTTCACATGCATTTACATGCATTTTGATGCATAAAACTGGGCTGGTCGGACCCGGAACACAGAAATGCATATTTTGGGTAAACTGACCTAGGCTGAAGGCACCTGGATGCTGCTGGACTCGGGGTTTGCGTTCAGTCATAAACATGCATTACATGAGTCCAGAAGCATTTAGAAACGAGTTGCACCTGAACTCAGCGTTTTGGTACGCAGTGTGCATGAGGCCTTAGCTGCTGAGCTTAGTGTCCCTTTTTAAAAGAGAACTACGGGGTAACCTTTTTATCCCATTGTTCTCTTTAGGGCCACGGGAGGTTACATACTAACCTCCTCCCGTGACCCAAAGCTCAGTATATAGTGAGCTATTGCCCGCTATATACGGAGAGCGCCGCAGCCGGGACGGATCCTGACAATATTGTTGAGATCCGCCCAGCTGCGTGAGTGACAGCGAGCTCTGCCTATCTAGAGGCAAAGCCAGCTGTGCACGCCTCCTTCCCAGTCCATTACGTCACTCTCAGCGCTGGAGGATCTGATGGGGGAATCCCTGCGCGGAGCGGTGACTGACAGTGAGCGAGCGCCGGTATGTGTTCGCTCACTTCCCGATCTATAGAGCTGACCTGTGACAGTCTCATTGCCACATGTCAGCTCTATCTATGGGGATGAGTGTAAACCACTCACCTCATAGTTCTCGAAGTTTGTTTCAAACCCTGATGGAAGGGGGGAGTGCTGTTGCTTCTGAAATGAGTTGGTGGTTTATCCTTTGTGATTGAATAATTACAACAGTCTCTTAGGATTGTTTTTAAATCTTTTTGGTCTGGTGCTCAGTCATTATATGTCTTCATCTCCCAAAGTTGGGCAGGAAATTGGTGGAGGTTTCCCCAGCAAGTAAAAACCTGACTGGAGTTGTAAACCATCCACATCCCATCCAAAATGAAAGTTTTTGTCTGGTGTTCCCCTTTAAAGGCTCTGGCGGGCGTTGTAGTGTGACCGGGGGCTCTGGCGGGCGTTGTAGTGTGACCGGGGGCTCTGGCGGGCGTTGTAGTGTGACCGGGGGCTCT